TAAACTGCTGTATTCAACAATTCTGTTGGTTTCGATAGCAGCTGTATATTGCTTCGATACAAGACGACTTCTCAACGAACGTGTTCGACGGACAACAAACTTTGCTGATTTTGTTTCTGTACCACTTTGGTCAAAAAGTAAAACTGTCATTTTACTTTGGTTATTTATTATGTACAAAAAAAGGTTACAAAAAAGAAAACTAAATTTATTTTGCTGCTTTTTAAACAGGAGAAAAAATAGTACTGTTCAACGGTGCTATTCTGTTGTTAAAAAAAAAAAACATTTTATTTATTTATCATACATATTTTTTTTAAAGTAGCAACGACAAAAAAAAAAAAAGACAATTGTTACTGAATACTTTAACACTTCCAATGTGTTTTTTTGCGCTATTTTAGATCAAAATCCTTGCCTATTATTTATTGACTGTAACGACAACTATATGAGTATGATTGAAGAAATTCCAAAGGATAAAAACGATTTAATGAGTGATTTCTTATTGCGAAATACCACTGAATGATTATTATTATTGTAATTTTTTTTGTTTGTGGTTAAAGAAGCAAAAGAAAAAATTGTTCGTTTTCTTTTTTTGTATGTGTGTACAGTTACCATTCGTCTTGTATACTGTAATAATACAGCAAAAAAATTCAAACGAAATTGAAAATAAAAAAAAATTAAATTCCTTTTTTTTGTTGTGTTACCATCAACAAAATACAGCATCAACGGTGACAGTAAAAAAAATTGACAAGAAAAGTCAATTGAAGATAAAATAAAAGAAAAGAAAAGAGTAAAATAAAACATCCTTTGAATTTTATGGATACTTCCTTTCAAGACAAGTTACCGGTAGTTTTCTGTCTTTGCATATCGTAAATTATACTTGAACCTTAGACCCACCTTCCCCCAACACTTCAACCCTTCGTTTCCATCAGCCTGACCTTTCACGACAAACACGATTTTTCTGTTTTACTGTAAACGAAACACACAATTTTTTTTCTCTGAAGCAATTTAAATGCTAAGCAGAAATGAAGAATTGACAGCTACTTTCAGTTAAGCATTCTTTCTTGTTCTTTTTTTTTTGGTATCTTTTTTTGAAGATACCCAATCATCAACACTTCTAACGGCCATTTTCAAACACTGAAATTTGTGCCATTGAAATCAGTGATGTTTGAAGAAATCAATTAATCAACAGGTACAGCACAAATGTATATTTTTGTTACTATATTTAAGCTCAAGCGTTTTTTCACTTGTCATTACTGTCTTCTCAAATCTGAATTATAAATTTAGCAAAAGAATGCTGATTGAAGTAATTTTTTGGCTGTATGCTTTAGATAGCTTTTGATGGTCTACTCGCAATTCAAAAAGACTTCTTCCACTAGCAATCAATTTAAGTCGTTTCAGCAAAAGTAAATTTCGAAACCAGTACCCTTCTTTTTTCAATCAAAGCTAAAACTTACTATATAAATCAAGCAAATTAAGTAAGAAACAAACAGTACTGTGGCTATCTGTATAATACAATAAAGAAATTAAAAATTTTAAAAAGCTACTAAATTTAATTTTTCCTGAATATAAAACCTTTAAATTACAAACTACATCCGTTTGCTTTTTATACTAAACCTATTGCTATATAACTCATTAAAGTTACATCAAATTTAAATTAGCCATAAACACTTAAAACACTATTGTTATTTATCAAATTTGTTCTTATTCCATTCACCAAAAAAAAAAGAATAGGAAAAGCCTAGCGACAGCACATCGCTTTCTTGCTATTTATTTTAAAAAAGATCGTCTAACGTTATTCTTTTAGCTGCATCTGTTTTGGTCATACAAGTTACTTTCATGGTTCATTTTATCCCGGCCAACAGTTGAAGCTACGTCCACCTCCACAATTTTTGTTTATCCCATACCTCTCACTTCACTTTGATCTCCACCGACTTAGTTGACCAGCTTTAGTTGATTGTTAACAACTCCTCCCAAACTTCCGCTGTCAATTAACAGTCTAAACTAAAATTTGTCTAGCCAGATGACCCGCCAACGCATCACTCATGTGCCAACGAGGCGATGGTCCAAAGTTCTGTCGCAACTTCAAATACACTTTAAGAAAACAAATTAGATCGCTGCACATACAAAGTCTCACATGACAAGGAGAGTTCTTATAGAAATATTAGAACAACGGTAGCACTTGCCCTACAAATTCACTTTAACAGAAATTTTAGAAGTCCTTTAAAACCTTTAAATCCCTCTTTTGTGGTATACCTTGTAGTTAAATCCTTTCATTTTTTCATCGATCCTTTGCGGATATAACTAATAATCTTCTCAGACCAAAACAGCGTCAGGGATGGCGAGAAAAAGGCTTGCGTAACGAAATAAGAGAGACAAAAAGTGATATCTGAAAATTAAGAAGACACTGAAGGCATCATAAGACAAAAACACTACTACGGTCAGTAGCACCATAATTCTCACAAATCTCTTGCTTTCGTTTTTCAAACTTATCAACTCACGGCACTGTTTCGCAAAAATTGATTTTCCAAGTTTTTCTTCCCAAAAATTTGTACCTGGGAACATCGTCAATGATGCAATTTTTGATCAAAGAACTCTTGTTCGCTGACGCATACTGCTTAAATTTTATTACAGTTAGAGGGATCTAATGACGTCGCCAACTTCTACAGGATGATTTCGATCAAACATCTGTCTTTATTAACGAAAAGTGCATGCTTTTTCCAGAATACCAATCAAGCCTTATTAATTATTTGAAAGATCAGAGAAACAAATAGAACATCGACCTTAGAGAGCAAACTTGGAAGAAAAATGACGTGTCAGTGCTATGTTGAAATCAAAAACTACAAAAAAAATTTCTCCTGGCAAAAAAAAAAATGAAAAAAAATGTTATGAAGAGGTTTCCAATCCAGTGCATTTTAGCGGCTTTAAAAGGCAAATATTTCAACTGCGAAACTCACATTATATATTCTCAAGGCTAAGTTATTTACGGTAAAAAACTCAAAAATTCGTTTCCTGATTGGCACAAATTTTCTGGTTTTTCATTTGTTTAACATATTTATTTCAAAGTAATTAAAATGACGTATGCAAGATAAAAAAGCATTTCTCATTTAATTTTCAACTAAACCAAACAGAAATAAGACTAGTTAGCACATCGATTAAGAAGAAGTTATTATTTACAAGGCAAGTTTTTTAACGCTTGAAGATTCACCAAAACTGAACCGGTGTACCCGTTGTCTTTAACCTCCTTAAGCTTTGCAACGTAAGAAGGAGGCAGCGAATGCTCAATGGCTCCAGACACAATAACATGTTTGTAGTGAGGTGACGGCAAAGCTGGTTTCCTACTATCCAGTAAATACTGATACGTGCGGCAGGAAATGACTGAATCAGCAACATCAATATTAACTGCAAAAACTCAAAGTGATCAGGGATTATCTCAGATAAAATTGGAACAGTTGCAAAGCATTTTGTTAACAGGTATAAAGCTTAAAACTAGCAATTTTTGATACTGATTTTAGAAAAAAAAACCATTTTTTAACAGGATTAGACACTGAGAAAAACGACAAAACAAAACCTTGTAGCCGTTTGTACACATTCTCTTGGAGATCTAATTCGTCAGCAAAACTATTCGGCACACGCCACACACAGCCCCACACTTCTTCACCAGGAACTTCTTCAACTGATGCTAGAGCTCCATGCCATCGACTGCTGTCATCATAAAAGCAAAGTTTATAATTACTCAAGCGGCCAGTGCATTCGAATACCGCATCCTTGATCTACAACTTATGTATTACGGACAAATATAGGCACTCTTCCACTATGAAAATTACCCTTATTGAAACTATGTCATTTCCTTTTTCATGTCAACAAAGTTGTAACTGTCATATACTGTCTTCAGTTGAGACTTAACCACAGAAACGCGTTGATACAGTCTTAACCAACAAGTGCCTTTGCATAAATAAGAAGGTAAACCTCCCTTTCAACTTTACGCACAGAATGAGAAAACAGTAAGAATTTCAAAAACTATACCTGTACGTGAAGACGCTCTTCCAATAAGTTACTCCCGTATGCAAAATAAAAAAAAAAGTGGCTTTGCGACACCGGGTTGCCAGCAACCATTGAAGAAGCGTTAACATAAAATTCAGACGGAACTACGTCTAGCTGAAGAAAAAAAATGGCGAATAAAACGAACGTTAATATCAAAAAATTTGCTAATCACATTTTTAACAGCTTAAAGTGCTCGAAAAAAAAATATTTCCACAGAAATTTTTTGGTTTTTAACCAAACTTCATGACGAACAATTACACTGAAATAAAATTCAACAAGTCTTAAGACCAATGTTAAGAAATGGAAGTGTTCAATAATTGGCTAAATTTTCAACCTTGAAAAAGGTGCAATAAGACAACTTTCTGGTAATCTTCCCCAATAGATTCTGAAATTTTGCAAATGACGGAAAGCGGTTGCCAAGGTTTAAACGTAATATGTTTGTTGCCGAATACATTACATATGAAACTTTTCCAGTCCAGACGACAACAGCAATGTTGCGCTAGTAAATTTATGAGATAGAAAGAAATCAACGATTAATTTAACCAACACAACTGATGAAGATCCGTGATCAAGCACCATCTTAAATTCTAAAACAAAAGCTTCAAGGCTACTGCACAACAATATTAGCATAAGCACTGCGAAACCAACACTTTCT